AATAAAACTTTATCGAGTTGCAATAAAACTTTATTGAGTTGCAATAAAACTTTATTGAGTTGCAATCAAACTTTATCGAGTTGCAATAAAACTTTATCGAGTTGCAATAAAACTTTATTGAGTTGCAATAAAACTTTATTGAGTTGCAATAAAACTTTATCGAGTTGCAATAATTATAAGGATTGAGACTTTTAGAAAATATTACCCATGAGGCTGAATTTGGATATTAGAGGCCAAGAGAACGAGGGATAGTATGTTGACCGAGGTTGTATCATTGAGGAATGTGCAGGATGTGTGCATCTCCTCAAAGTACGCGTAGAACCGTGGAATATAGTTGAACCTCATTGAAGACTCCAGCTTAGAGAGAATATCACGGTTCACACTCCTAGATAGTAATTTATAACACAGACACCCCAATCACATGTTTAAGTCGGGTAAAACCACAAAATTGATCTTATTTATTTTGGCGCTTTTCAATCAGGCGTCCTTATTCAATACCCATTTCACTAGATTTTCTAGACAGATACACATCTATATAAACGTCTTGTCTGTTGAACTCCCCCCCCCCCCGGGGTCAGAATAGTTAATTGCCAGTTAGGATTAAACGTATATCGACTCAAAACTTAAACATTATATTGCCAGACATACGTAAACCTTACTTAACTTAAAACTGTTAAAGTTTTCAAATGTGATTAAAATATAAAAGTTGATTGTTGCCTTGAATGGAACTCCAAGGATTCTCCCTTGATATTTTGCAGAGAATGGACTCCATCAGCACTCTTTAAAAATTATTAATTTATCATTTTCCTACTCAAATCAAAATTAAAACTTTTTACAAATTAAAAGGAAAACTCACATCATGTCATAAATAATTCTTTACCAAAGCAAAGGTTATTTTAAAAATATAAATTTTATTTTAAAATGTAAATTTTATTTTAAAAATATAAATTGATTAGATGTTTTTTTCTTCTCAGTAATTAATCTTATTTTGCATATGTTAAGTGACAATGATTTTAAAAAGAAAAACCCTCCGTAAAATAAAATATTGACAACTTAATAAAAATGTTTACAAAAACTTCAAATATCTGTAAAATCTCTTTTATGACGAATCGAATAATTTTTTAAGAACCTTGATGATTGCTATGTTCGGAACAAGAGAAGCGGTTAGAACCGCTCGTACTACACTTTCTACTCCACTATAGGCATTACTCTGGGGGCTCTAGAACAAGCTATTAGCATTTAATCATAATTGTCTATAAAAAAAATCATAATATTTTGAAGTTCGTCAATTTTAGCTATATTAGTTAGATTCAGGGGTCCTCTCAGCTTAAATGGGCCAATTTTTACCATGTATTGGAAACATTTTCAAATTTGAAATTGGGAGGAAACCTGAGGGCAATACTTTAGTTCGTGATAGCCCTTAGGTTCGGCAACTAAATCAAATCAAGTCAAATCATATTGTACAAGGATTAATTGATGCCAAGAATGTAATGCAAGGAAAGTTATTTCAGAAGTGTACGCATCTTTTGTACTGCAGTGTACTGTCTCTGGGCGGTAATGTAAACACAAGACGGATGTCAAAGCCTGACATGGGATCCATCTTTCACATAAAAAATCAATGAAATATTCTGGTCATAGGAAACAATTATGTGAATTATCAAAATTATCAAAATATAATGGTTTTAACCTCCTCGGATACTAAACGAACACTGATGCATCTATTCTTGTTTACAAATTCCGCCCAGAGAGAACTAGCTTCAATATGTACGCAGAGTATACAACCGCAATTAACTTTCCTTGCATTACACCCTTGCTTGAGGCATTCTTCTTTTTGGGTAAAGAATTAATTCTTTCCCAAATTCTGGATTTTCAGCCTAATCTGAATTTGCAATTGATTTTTCAGTTGAATTAACGCGCTTTTTTTGTAAATTTGCAGTACGGAGTACTTGAAATCCAATGCACCAACTTAAAAATTGATATTTAACAGCCTTAATTAGGGGAACCAATAGGTGTCCATCGTCCAAGGTCAAACTATTGAGAGGCAACAATTTGTCTAAGGTTAAGATTAAAAAGTTGTGCTCTCTGGCTGACTAGATGATAAGAAATAAAATTACCAAGATATCTTTGGATGAGATTAGTCCAAGTTTAAATAGTTCCAAGGCGTACTGGGCTTTCATCTTCTCAATGTTGTACAGAACTCCCTAGTAAACAATCATGTACAGGGTGGCCAAAACTTTTTTGAACCAATCCGTACAAAAATCCGTACATTTTCGGAAGCCATCCGTACAATCCGTACAATTTTCGAAAACAAATCCGTACAATCCGTACAATTTTTTTTCAAAAAAATCCGTACAATCCGTACATTTTTTTAAACCAATTTCCTTACAGTTTTCCTACTCCTCCGATGTGACTTTTACTCCAGAAGTTTTTATTACATGTTCAACGTCTAATTCTCCATTTATCGAACAGACATTACTATTATTTAACTGAAGAAAAAATCTAAACATTTTGGACTGTGCTTAGGATCCGGATCCGTTGGATCCGCAAGATTTTGGCTTCTTGAGTGAAAACTTTTGGAACATTACATTTGCTTGAATGCTATTTCTGGAACATCTTCTTGAATAAGCAATCAAATAAATACTTCTGGAACATATTCTCGACTGATTACTTCTGGAACATATTCTCAAATGAACACTTCTGGGACATATCTCGAAAATTATGAATGAATTTTGATTGTCAATTGAATTGAAACATTTATCAATCTAATATTATTTAGAATGCAGAAAATAAGTTAAACTAACTTCATTTTGACGAGAATTTATTTTTAAATTTTCATGAAAAATTTGCTGAAATGAGTGAAAATTAAAAAAAAACAGTGTATTTTCCAGGATAAAAATCCGTACAATCCGTACAATTTGAAAACAAATCCGTACAATCCGTGCCATCCGTACAATCCGTACAATTTTAGGGTAAAAAAAAAGTCAATCCGTACAATCCGTACAATCCGTACATTTTGGCCACCCTGCATGTACTATTTACTGAGATTTACTCTGAGTTAATTTCCAAAACATTTTTTTGCCAAAAAAAGTTTCAATGTTTTTCTTCACAGAAATCAGAGAATAAATGAATTGCACACCAATAATAATAATTGAATAATACTTTTACCTGTGAAATACAATTTTCTCTGCAGAAATCCAAAGCTTGATATTCACAACCAGCAGTCTTACGATTCATCCTTGCACAACACCAACCTTAATAACAGGAGTATATTGATCAGCTATCCTCAGGTATCTTTACATACAGTTGTCATATTTTTTGCAATAAAGACGATTTATTCAATTTCGATTTCTACCAAGCTTTCAAACAGCTTTGATAGTGGATAAAAACAAAAGAGAAGCTCTCATTTATGCAGATTCGTTTATGTTTACTTGTATACTTCTAATTTAAAAAAAAACATTGTAAGAAATCAAAACCTTAATAAAAAAGTGATCTTTATTGTATTGATATAAACGCCTTCCACTGCAGTTCTTTCTTAGTTAAACTCATCATATTTTAGAAACTGAATAGGGCGATAGTTGCGCAGAAATTTGTATTGTCAAGTCAGCTTTTTGTTGGTTTAATTGTAAGCGAGTTCGAAGACCATGCTAATTTAAATCTTAGAAATGACAAATGGTCTTCTTCTTAAGACTGATTGTGCGACACCAGCTTCACAATATAAAATTACTAGGACACGTGGAGACTCGAGAGGGGGGGGGAGAGAGATTTTTAAGCATCAGAAAAAACTGCAAGTTCAACTTTTCCATAGTTTGTATACCATTAAAACTAATCGGACACACTGTAACTCTTGGAAGAATAGTATGAACTTTACCTGCATATGCATTTGCAACAGCTAGATGGTCAGACATAGTATCAGCAGACAGGTTTTGTATAGCTTTAGCGGACTCTCGGGCCTACAGTCAAAAATACCAACATTAAAATCTATTTTTTTCCTTGTTTTTTGTCACCGACCTTTGTGAGATGAAAGGGTGATTTGTATTCCAGCGCTGACACTATCGTGAGTATAGGATCAAGACAGGAGAATGCACAGGAGAGGATCATCATCTTACCCAACTGCGGATCAGTGGCTAGGTTAGCTAGTATGCCGCCCAGAACGGTCAACTCACCTTTAGAGAGCAGAAATTATGTTATATTTATTTAATAATTTTTACAAATTAAATATTCCTATCTTTATTCTTTAAGGTTGGATTATATTAAGAACTAAAAAGATAAGAGACTATGTAGGAAAATTAAAAATCTAAGGTCAAATATAAGAGCAAAGTGGGATAACTAAAAATATTTTAACAATGGGGTTTAATGTTTGGTAGATAACCTCTCTAATGTAGTATCACATGAAGAGTTTTTAATAATGTCATTGGAAGTAAAATATCATTATTCCAATACAACTACTTATGTAATACTTTTAATGTTAATATAACCTTTAGAGTTGATAGCTCCAATATCCAGGAGTGTCTGAGTTGCTAACTCAATGGCCTCCCTGACTGGAGGATCCATCAGCTGCCTCATGAACCCATCCACCACCGTATACCCCAGTATCTTGATCTTCAGGATTACATTCTCCAGCCTTGTCCTGAAAACAAACTATTAACGAATTAACCACCCTTTAATGAGAATGAACCATGTATTTTTATCTTAATTTGATGTAATTTATTAATGAATGGCCACTGAAACCAATTTTGTTAGTGTCAAAGAAATAAAATATATTTTTATATACCTTAAGATTGATATAGTGCTAACCTGAATACTCCCTAAAGCCTGAAGATTGATTCAGAGCTTACCTGAGTACTTCCTCGAATATTCTTAGGATTAAGTACCTGAAAGGTTTCTATCCTTATTACTCTGAACGCAATGTACTACCTGAAGGTTGATATAAAGCTAACCTGAGTACTTATGGAAGTTAGTACTTCCTAAAGGGTGATGTAGAGCTTTCATGAGTACTCCCTGTAAGTAATCCCTGAGGGTTGCGCGAACTTTAGTAGTTCTTTAAGTATGTGCTTATTGATGGTTGATGTAGAGCTAACGTAAGTAACAGATTGGTAACCTGAGTACTTCAGGAAGCATGTACTCCCTGAAGGTTGATTCCCGAGCTTGAGAGAATATCTTGTAAACCTTGCCAGGACGGAGTCTTCCTGCTCTACCCTTTCTCTGGGTCGCATTGGCTTTGCTAAACCAATATACAGATTAGACATGAATTAATACATTTAAACTAATTAGTACTTTCAGGGTCATTTGAAATTTTATTTCATCTGAAGTCTCTTTCAGATTACAATCTTTCAAGTTTTTTAACATAAACCCCTTTGCTATTTTGATAACGTTTGAATTTTTGTCCATACGTCTGCTTTTGTTAATATTAAAAAATTAAGGTCCCATTTTTAATTTCTGAAGATAAAAAACTATTGCTGGATTACTGTTGTTAGAGGGTTAATGATGACTTATGGCGTTGGTTGTGAGAGGGTTAATGATGACTTATGGCGTTTGTTGTGAGAGGGTTAATGATGACTTATGGTGTAATCAGTTTATTATGCCTTAATACAAAAATAACTCCTTCTACTCTACCTGATCCATTCTGGCTTCAGAGTTGCAACATTTTTCTTCGGATCAAACATTTTCATCTTTGCTCTGCCGCAGTCTATGACGAAGACGACATCATCAATGGTGACAGAACTCTCAGCAATGTTGGTTCCGATTACAATTTTCCTATAAATGGCTACTTAATCGTGGGACGGCGATAACCCCTAAACGATATAGTAGATATCACTGTAGTTAATAATGTGAAAAGTAAAGTTTCAAACAAACGTTTTATCATAATGGTAACATAACAATTAGGATAAAACTGGGATAGTTCTTAAAAACATTAATTGAACTTGATTTACAGGGTTCATTTTTAAATTAAACTCCAGTGATATACAGAATATCTTCCATGAGATAACCAGATTTTAAATACGAGAGTTTTGACCCTAAGAGTTGAACATTTGAAAGAGGGGGGAGGGGGGACTGGAAAGGCGCAAGTTTTGACCTCGGAGTAAAAATATAGTATTTTGTTGAGTCTATCTTGTAAATATTTAAATACCTGGCCCTGCCGGTCTTCTGGAATATCAGTCTTTGGTCGTCATGAGACATAGAACCATGCAGCTGTAGGATTGACACTTCTTTTAACATTAATAAGTTTATCATAAATATTTTCTCTTAGATTAAAAACAGGGCAGAGAATTTTATATGTATGTGAGTGTGTGTTCAGTACCTTAGCCGGCAAAACCGTAACACCTGGAGATATGTCGAACTTGAATAAAAATGTTTCCTTAGTCTTCCTATTTCGTAGGCATTTTAAGACTATCCCAATGTAACAGTTTGGACACAGGTGGTATTATTCTGCCGAGTATAGAAAATGTGACTGGATGGGCATGGGCAACCGAACAAACTGGACAAGAATTGGCTTGATCATGTCAGGTACTAGTTTAATGTAACCAGGCAACAATGTAAAGTCTTCATATTTAAACTTACTGTATATAAAATGATCATTAAAGAAGTCGTCCACAGTATTTTACATTATAAAATATCAGCAGGACATCAAAATAAGAAGAGAAGTCTTCAATGCAAAAATTATATCTTTAATGTATCAATATTATGTGTCATGCAGTGCTTAGGATCCGAACTATTTGATCCGCAACATTTTGACTTTCTTTAATTAATTGCATCTTTATCACCAGTGTTAACAGTAAAAACTTTCTTCAATGTCTGTACTTTCCCATGGATTTCTGATCTTTTATTTAAAGTAAAGTTGTGTTCGGATTTGAGGATGAGTCATAAATAGACCTACCAGACCTACCAGACCAACCAGACCAACCAGACCTACCAGACCTACCAGACCTACCAGACCTACCAGATAGTGAAAGATCATCCAGAAGTCTACTAAGTCTACAAATATCCTCCCAGCCTGGTAGAAATATTAGAATAGCTCCATCCTCTTCCCCACTGTAGATAATCATTTTCACGAGTAGACAATTATTTGATTTGAATAAAAACCTCAAAAACCTCGGATTTTATGACCCAAAAGTATATTTTTTATCACAATTAATTCAAATGAAAATAATGTATCCCTGTGAATCTTCTGTACTAGAGCTGCAATTATATTGATCTGGTAGGTTTCAATATTCTCTAGTTCCTTGTACTCTCCTCCTTGAACCTGCTCCAGGGTCTCAAGGAACCTTTGGTAGTCCTCATCATCATGATCAGGTTCAGCTATAGGTTTATTCTCTATAATCTCCAACACCTCCTAGATTCAGGAACATTTTGGAAAAATAATTGAATTAGAAGATGGAGACGACCAGGTAAATTTTTTTCTTATTTACAAACATTTTAAGAAATAACAATAGGCAAAGTTAACTGTTTTTGCAAGATATGGTGATAATAAGAAGTTTATCAAAAGTCCTTGAAAGTTTTTATTTCAAAGTTATTTTAGAAAGCTTACCCACGTACGTTAACATACAGCTCCTCGGTTGGTTAAAAAAATTCAAATTTGCAAGGATATATTTTCTCTTAAACTTCAAGTCATATAAGCAGGATTACATTCTCCAGCCTTGTCCTGAAAACAAACTATGAACNCCATTCCTCAAAGAGAGGAAATAAATAAGGATTTTCAGAAAGTATTAAACCTCAGCCAGGTTATATAATCCACAAGTTCAAATTTTACATTTTCCCCTCATTTTTGTGAGGGTGGGTACTGGGTATACAACTTCAACCTTGATACCTTGATATAATAGGACTGTACAGGATGCATGAAACCAGGTATATGGAGAACAGGACACTCCTGGTAGAACTTGGAGAACTGGGAACCATTTAAAGTTGCAGACATCAGAATAACCTAGTGGAATATGGTTTGAAAACATAGTTAAAAGGGCAGTAAGCATAATTTTATAAAGATTGCAATGCCCGATTTACAATGGTACACTTAAAACCTTTGTCGAAACAATAATTTGTCAAAGATATTATCGTTTTCCTATAGTTTTAAGTGTCTAATTCTAATAATTCCTAATGTTTTCCTGCAGTAGAAATGCGCAAGTTACTTAAGTAGAGAAACCACAATTAAAAATAATCGATTTTCACAATGATCAACATTGATATATTGATCTCTAATTAATACTTGATCAGTAAAAGCTTTGAAGGGTACCGTTGTGAATCAGGCATTGCGATCTTTGCATGGAGCGTCAATTGAAATTACATTTACAAAGTAATATGTCACATATCAGGGTGGCCAAGACTTTTTTGAAAAAATCCGTACAAAAATCCGTACATTTTCAGAGGAAATCCGTACAATCCGTACAATTTTAGAAAAAAAATCCGTACAATCCGTACAATTTTTGAAGAAAAAAATCCGTACAATCCGTACATTTTTTTGAACAAATCCGTACATTTTTTAAAAAATCCGTACAATTTTCGAAAAAATCCCTGCAATCCGTACATTTAAGAAAAATAAAACCATTTTTGAAAATATTATTCAACACTGTCTCACCCCCCCCCATTCCCCCCCACCTCTTTCTCCC